CTCTAATGCCCTTCGTAAAGCTATGGCTTAAATAGCAAGGTGGACTGGACTCTCTAGATAGCAACCAGTCTAGGAAACTCTTAAGTCCAAACTGTGAAAAAGGTAAGAAATCAGTTCCTATGAAATGTCATAGCAATTCATAGATAAAGAAAAGGAATTTGTAGAACCATGATTGCTAACATTTTGAAGAGACATGGCAATGTTATTTATAACAAAGATTTTTTGGCTAGGATTAGCTGTCCCATCCATGGGTAAAACATGACAGCAGAGATACAAACCTCAACTCTAGGACAACATTCTTTGTACTAAAACAAAAGAAACTAAGGAGTGGGGTTGTGGACTACTTTGTACAATTTCGGAAGTCTTTCTGTTAATGCATGACCATTACAAAATTTGGTTTTCAATGGGTTTCATACTGATAAATAAGCAAATTAGATCAATTCAAATATTCTTTTAATTCACCATTTATGGTATATTAGATGTCCTTAAAAATTCCTATATGTGAAGGTGAAGTATTTTTGTAAATGTAAGTTGTATTTAATGCCTGTATGTATTCAATAGTTTTATAAGTTCATTCTACATTGAATATAGTAATAATTTATTCTCCCTGCCATTAAACTAAATTTTGCTAAGTATTATTGGGAAATGATAACCTCACTAAAAGGTTCAAGTCATTGAATACATTTTGAAGTGATTTATGCCTGAAATAGTGTAGAGAAATTCAAATATTTAAATACATTGACAACTTAAAAAAGCAAAACATGAACACAGGTTATAAGTATGTACTTTTTTTTATTATTGCAGTATATCTTTGTAATGTGAACATTCATTCAATCAAACACATCTCATCTGCCTGTTTATAACCACATCAAATTTAATGAATAGAAAACTCTCCAAGATTTGATCTTTTTTTTTTTTTTTTTTTATCACTTTTGTTAAAGAATAAAGAAATAGGAGGGAAGCATCTGAATTAAAAAAAAAATCTAATAATTTTAATGTGACTTCAACCAAGTTTGAGTTTAGCCTGAAAGACAGCAATACTTTTGACAATGCTCACTAGATATCAGGATAAGAACAAGAGTTTTAATTGTCCAAAAGAGACCAATACGACAAAGGCAGTTTAGAGACTGTGTAGTCTAACTACTAATTCCACCCACCTAGTGATACAAATTAAACTATAGTGCTCATTTTAAGATGACTGGATAAAAATACAATTTGATAGAATAAATGAGTAACTTCAGTAAATAGAGAAAGAGCTAATTATTTGCACTGTTTATAAATTATATTGTAAAATTGCTTAAGTTTAAAGTTTTGTCAATATTGAAGGCCAATGTTTAGTTGACATAATGAACAGTCATGTGTGCAAATGTTTCACAAGATACAAGTGCAACAGCAGACCTTGCCCAGTGAAAAACATTTAAAATTCAAGGGAAATTTTTATTTGCAGTATTGAATGGATTATCTTACAAACCAGAAGTTATCTGATTAACAGAATAGAGTGAAGTATTTTGCGGTAGATGTAAAGAAAAAAAAAAAAAGTGGTAAGTAGCTTTTATTGGAAAAGCTTTCTTTATTTTTAACCCTGATCAAAGATAAAATTTTAAAAGAAAGTTTCTGCCTGATTTAAAGATTGTCTTAATTTTTGTTTTATATTAGGATTTTAAATAGAGTTCAGTAAAGATATATCTCTTCCAAATTAATATACAAAATATTGTTTACATTCAAATTTTAATTTTAGAAGTACATGATCAATCCAAAGGAAATAAGTTTTCATTTAAAATAATTTCACTTATTTTATTGAAAATTCAATTTGCTCATCTCAAATGTTCAGAGAATATCAACATTAGCAGATATTTCAGATACAAATTTAAAAAAAAAAAAAAATAATCTGATGTGAAAAGGTGGAGTATATAGTAAAATAGTGAATAAGATTTTAATAAGAGGTGAAAGTAGAATGAGCAGTCATTTATTATGTCTTCCTACTGCACAAATTCTATTTATCTATACAGAATAACAAAATGAATAGCCATATCTTTAAAATGTGTCTTTAGATATCAGAGCACTATCTGGAGAAGCTGTCAACAATCAGGTTTTGATAATTTGGCACTAACATGATTTCATTTATTTTCAAGACAAAGATGAACAAATAAATAATGAATTATATACAGATGCATACCCACACATTTTGAAGTAACAAACTATTAGTATTGATATTGTTTTACAAACCTGGTTGAAATAAGTGTTGCCTTATTTGGTATTTAACAAGTATATCACTATGTACAAACCATAGGGCTTCAAAGATTGGCTCAGAGTCTAGATGGTGTTTACCCACATGAAAATTAGATAATATAAATCAAAAGTGGTTCACACTAGCTGTTTTAGACTTTACCATGTTACATACATAGTTATTAAAAGAGCTGCTATCACTTTTAGAGCCATGTTTTTTTCCAGTACAGGCTTCAAATAAATTCAATTAAAGAAAGAGTAAACTAGAAGTCACCCAAACATTGTTCCAGAGCAAAAGGCTATGAGTCTAAAAGTTAGAGAAAGGTCCCTGTAAATGTTCAGAAACAGTCTTAAGAACACAATACTCAGGTATCATTATTTTTTAAATGTGCCCAAAATTAATAACATTTGTTCCATCAGACATTACAAAAGAAAAAGACAATTTTTTTTTACTGAATTAAGAAAAGTAAAAAAGAGTAATATATTTTTCATTTCCCTTACAGTGTTTTATACACTTGGAGAAAAAAAAAAAATTAGGTTGTAATTCTTATAGTTCATTATTTTTGTGGGAAATAAAACTTCCAGAAAACATAAAATTGAAAAGGGCAAGGAAAAAATAATCAGTTATGACTTTTTTTTAGAAATTTGATCCAAACTAGTGATTTAAGAGCATACCTTACATAAATTTCAAATGCATATCTTCTTGAAAGAGTTTAATATTCAAAGAATTTAATAGACCAGTGACAAGCTACTAATGAAATAAGAGACCATTTGTTAATCATTTCTACATAGTAGAAATGTCAATGGGGTTTTATTTACACCCTGTTTAACAGGGAAGCCTATATTTTCTTTCCTTATATAAAAAGTCAAATCATACAAAGTGTTAGCCATGTTTATCAGAAAGAAAGTGGGAAAGCGAAATTGAATGTTAATATCAAATTTAATATATTTTGCAAGTTTCTACAATAAACCCCCCCCCTAAAAACAGGGCTAACCAGGGTAAACAAAACAGGTTATGGGTAATCTCAAATGTAGCATATCAAGAAAATTAAAGTTAGCTTTCTAGAACTTAAGTTTTGAAGAGTAAATAAGCCTAACTTTTAAAATATTAAAAATAAGCAATAAAAAAAATATTGCTTCAAAGGACAAGCAAGTAGTGTCTGGATTTGGTTTTCATAAATAACAGAAAAGTTAAAACTAAGTTACATAAAAAAATTCACATTTGGAATGGCATGTTTAAAGAGCCATTTTAAAAAATTATAACAAGAATTTAAATCCAGAATAAGTTTTATTAATCATATTCTATGCTTAATGAATATAATTGTTGATTCTTTTTTAAAAATATTTTATAAGCATCAGATTAATCTATCTGGCTACCAAAGTAGCAAGTTTAAAAAGGTGGTGGGAGGGAGAGAAGATTTTGGTATTGGCTAACACAGATGAATAAAACTGACCTGTAATTGTATGAGAAAAAATATTTTAGAGAGAAAACATGTCTCCCTTTACATATTGCTCTATAAAAAAGAAAAAGAAAAACAAAATGGTCTCCAGTATTGAGAAGTAAAAGGTACATTTTGCTGTAACAGGCAAATAAGTTTCAAGAATCAATCTCCAGCTTTCCAAGAAAATACACTTTATAAAACTTTAGCCCCCACCCCTTTCATACCAAAGATAATTGGATGCAATATTGAGTAGATTGATAATTATGAAAAAAAAAAAAAAAAAAAAAAAAAAAAAGTTATCTTCTGTTTTATAATTACCAACTGAGATTTTTGTTGAGAGAAAGGGAATTCCAAGTGAAGGTAAAATATCTGCAATTTGGGCTGAGATCTTCATGTCACTATGATATGACAAAACAATTCCCTTTTGTGGTGGTGCTTTATAATGTGTTTATGGCAGGGTTGGTTGGCTTTTGAAAATGTTAGGTTTTTTTGTTTTTTTTTTAGTTTTCAGTATAGTGTTTTATGATACTGCTGTCAAAAATGGCATTAAAATTTGCTTGCCTCACCTCTTGTATACACCCAGAGTTGCAGAGGACGATGTGCAACAGTAATGATTATGGTAGATGGTAATTGCATCGATTTCAATGGAATTGAAAAACAAAAATAAATAAATAGAAAAAGAGAGAAGAAAAAAAAAAGCATTAAGGCTTTATCAAGCAATCTTTCTGCCATAATCATAAAAATTATGAAAATCTTTGAAATAAAAATTAACCCTCATTTATCCATCACCCAAAAACTAAGTTGAGAAAAAATTCAGCAGTTGGAAATGATAAATTTATAACAGTAAAAGTTGTGATTATGACCAGTGACACTTGTACCAATATCACCATTGGTCAGCAAACATGACCACCACAAACAATGGATGACAAGAGGAGCAGCAGCAGTAGAAAAGATGGACCAAGCAATGGTCTTTGATCAGATTGTTCCATTTTTGGTCATTACAGCCATCTGATAATCCAGTCTTCAGCTCACTGAAGGTATCAAGAGAAGAAAAAGTCAACAGGAATGGAAACTGTTTCTGCCAATGAATTAGTTCTATATGTGGAAGTTTTCAGAATGAACAGCAGTCAAGTCCTTTGTGGAGTCTTTTACAAATAAATCAACAAAAATGCTTTTTTTGTTTTAGCTTTTCAAATAGAAATAAAAAAGAAACAGTTCCAACTTTTTCGTCTCCATTTTGTGCAATGAGTATGTCAAAATTTTCATTTGCACTTTTAAAGAAAAGGAATCCAATCCAGAAAATTGGGTTAATATCACAATAATGCTTCAGTTTCATTCCGCTTTTTCCTTTTGTTCTTCATAGTGATCATACTGAAAGAGAGATGAATAATGAAAGAAAAACAAGAAAATTAGATTAAAATGATGAAACAGAATCATCTACATTCATACAAGGTATCAGAAGGTAACCCACTTAAGTTTGACTAGTTCATAAATTATCAAAATAGAAGCACAGAATAGAATTTTCCCCAGGCATAAAAATATTTAAATATAAAATATATAAATTATTAGCAAGATAAAGTTTCATAGAAAGGGGTTCTTAAGTTTCATAAAACAATAGCATTTTGTAAGGCAGAGAAACCAAGAAAACTAAATTATTAATAACAATGTTGAAACAATATTTATCATATCAGTATGAAAATAAAAGTGATCAGTCACAAATTAACAGATAGGTAATTTTCATAAAACAATTAAAACACTTTAGAATTAACTTTATCCAGTATTTAAGACAAGTATAATATATATATATATATATATATATATATATATATATATATATATAAAAAACACCTTAAAATGAAAAATAAGCAAGAAATATTGTAAATTAGAAATTAATCTAAACTGGATTTTGAATGAGAAAGGTGTAAATGAAAGTATAATTTGATCCAGTAATAATTACAAGAGTAAAAAAAGAAAAAAAAAAAAAAAAAATCAAACATTTAGCACTCTACATTATCTACAGGTATTATTTCCACTTTAACTGCATTTTTTCAAAAACCTCAAGTACAGAGATTTCATTGTCAATTTCTGTTGTCATCACAACACCAAAGAATTAGAACAGCAACACAAAATCTTAAGCTTAAAGACAAAGTTACCTATAGAGTGCTTAATGTTAAGTGTATAAATCAGTTTACAGCAGAGTATCCTGATCTATATAGTGATATTTCAAATTCATGAAATTGATTATACAAAAATAAATACCAACAAAATAAAAGTAGGTACCTCCACTAATTTGCCTAAACAACAGCATAGGATGATGAAAAAAAAAAAAAAAAAAAAAAAAAAAAAAAAAAAAAAAAAAAAAAAAAGGCCCCCAAATTTAAATTTTATTGTCAAAATCTTTAAGAGAAAAGTCCAAAATATTTTAAATTATTTTTAAATTTTTTTTTTTTTTTTTAATCCTAACATGTTCAAAATTTTGGTTAAAAATCTTTTATTTTTTTTTTTTGTCAATAGCATAACAGAACTGGCAATAGAATTTTTTGCACCTGTTCTTGACTCCAACCAATAGAATTTTTGTTGGAAATACTCTAGAGTATTTTGCTTACTGGAAATAATAAATGTAATCCTTTAGCTTTCAATTAAAGCTAAAAATGAAAACTAAGATTTTTCATTTATGAAAATTCATTTAAACCTTAGGTATACCAAATTAGTGGAGGTACCCAGTAAAAGCTAATTTACAGGGAAAACAATGAGAACAATGTTTGCTATGTAAAGTGGATCTGGGATTGGAATGATGGGATCTACATGAAGAAAGACAAATCAGATTCTGAATACTTACCATGGCCAATTGTCGGCCAATATTGCCCATTGTTACACCACCAGAGAAAAAGACACATGGAAGCCATGACCTTACAAAAAGAAAATCAGGCTCTGTATACCTACAATAAAAGGTGCTCAGTGTTACTGTAGAAACTGTTCCGAAAACCAGCAACAGTCACACAGTCAATGCATTTTGGCATTAACAACTCGAGAAAAATGACATAAGGATATTTTTTCTTTTTTAAACATATCAGTTCAGAAACTTATGGATATTTTAGAGCATATAGAAGAATATTTAATAGTGATTGTTACTGCTACCATTTCATTATAAAGTAGTAAATTTTAAGCAAGTTAAATTGTAGACGTAGCTATTCTGTGGTTTACCACCAAGCCATTGGTTGGAATTTATTTAGCAAAATTTTGAGCAAATTTAAGCATATATTTTTTTTTTTTTTAAATAGTTTTTATATATACAAATTTTTTGCTCGAGTTGTTAGGTGCAAGTGAAAATAATGCATTTCTAAACATTCAAATACTTGTGTGCTGTGCAATTAAAATAGTTAAAGATTAATCTCTTTTTAGAATAAAATTTCAACTCTTTAAATATATTATGCATCATCTGAAAAGAATTTAACAGTAAAATAATATTGATAAAATTTAAAACTAATACATGTCATTAATAAATATATAAAAATAAGGTTTTCAATTAATAAGTAGTAAGATCTTTCAAATGTTTTACTTCCTTTCTTGTACACTAATCAATCTCAAAATATTTAAATCCAATTTTTACAATGGCTCCTTTTGGAACATAGAAAACAGTAAAATAATTTAAAGAGAAAGACATTTAGAAACGTGCAGTTTTATTTTCTTAAAGATGAAAATACTAACAATATAGGTGCAAATGTCAAATATCATTAAAATACTTACTTGTAGACACCATTATACACAAGTAATTGTGTAACAAATGTTGCAAGAACTGCAATTCCAACACCCAATCCAAACCCACTTCGTGAACGGTCAAACAACCACCAGAGGCCTATGGACATTGCTGCCAGTGTCAGAGACAACTGCATGTTATTTGCAAAATCAATTTTCTAAGGGTTTGTCAAGGATCATCATTACATAAGTAAATGTAAAGTTGAAGAATGCAGTTAATATGACAGTAAAAAAGAAAAAATACAACAGTACTGAGTTTCAAAAAGAAAGCAGAGTTCAAAGTTTAAACTTCTGTTTTGAATCCAGTTTTTTTTTTTAGACCTACTATATTAACAATATTGTAAAAAAAATAAAAATAAAAAAAAGTTAACTGTGCTATCATGCTCAATGACTGTTAGCCAAACTGAGTCTGACAATATTGAAATACATATTTAAATAATGATAAAATATGAAACTTATTCTAGATGTGTTTGCTAAGATTACTAATGATAAAAAAAATGAAATTGACAAAATAAAATTTAGCTAAAAGTGTTTAAGTACTGTGATTTCTCTTTAATTCTGAATTTACTTCAAGAAATTTAAAGTTTTAGTGACACTGATAAGTTCTTTAAAAAAAATAAAACGAAGACAATTTTTTACATTGCCAAGAAAAGGATACTGCACTTGCATGATTGATGCCAACAAAAACTGCCACACATCTCATAACACTAGACCATTCCCGTCTATGAGTGTGAGGTTCTCCAAGTTTATTATCAAGACATGGATACAGCAAGCCAATGATAGCTGTCAAAGAGTAATTAGAAATCAAATTATAAAATTAACAAATGCAGAAACAGAACAAGTCTCAGATTATGAAATTATTAATTCTACATTTTTAGAAATATACAAAAAAAAAAAAAAAGAAAAAAAAAAGTTATTTTTCACATTTCAAAATGTTTATCATAAGTTCTAAATTGTAAATTACCCAGTAAAAATTAAACACTTCCACCCAGCTTTTCTGTATAGGTGTTTCAGTTAAAATTTACAAAAATTGTCTGATATTTTTACACATGCATAATTAATTTCAATTGCACTATGAAATTTGAAGAAACAAATCCAATGCCACTTTGTAACATCTTTAAATATAATTAAGAATTTTTAAAAGTTTGATTACAAGATAATGGGTAAATATTTCAAGTCCACTGCTATTTATTTATAGGTTAAAAAGCACAAATAAATAAAAATTACCTGCTGCTGTACCACAAGTTGGGGGAAGCCACCATGTGGATGAAAACATATTTGTGAAGACTTCTTGTGGAAGAGATGTAAATTGACGCTGAACTTGAAGCAGGTTCAGAACAAATGCAAAGAATACTCCAGTAAAAAATAAAAGCTACCACGAAGAAAATACCTGGCAATGGCCATGGCAGCAACTGAAAGTAAAAAAAAAAAAAAAAAAGACAACTTCAAATTTAAGCAAAAATCAAAATTAATGGATTTGAAAATAAAATTTTAAACAGTAATAAATGAATGCAGTAAGTTTTAAGCTAAGGATAAGGCTGCTAAAAAAATATTTTAAAAATAATTGTGTATATCTAGTGGAAGCCAATCACAAGGTTTTTTTAATTTTTTTTCAACCAGTCACTGTTGGTTTCAATTCAAAATTGCACATTCATTTTTCAATGGAAACTGTTCAGGTGAAAAATAAATAGCAATTAGCTTTCAAAACATGTTTTGTTAAAGAAAAAAGAAAAAGGGAGACAAAGATCTAAAGGATCTGATCAGTTTATCACGCTAAAAGATCATATGAATGAAAGCTTTCGTCAAAATCACACGAAGCAACCAAAATGAAATTGAAATGCATGTTTGCTCCCGGTTGTCAGCAATCTTTATAAGAAAAAAAAAAGGCAAGTCATAGAGAATGTATTAAGAAGAAAATTAAAATGAAATTCCCCATGAAATTATCCAATATAAAATCATTTGGTACAGTGTGCGATTAGTTAAAAAAAAAAAAAAAAAAAAAAAATCCCGATTTGTGTGCAATGTGTTGTTAGAGGATTGGTAACTGAAAAGGGCTACTAATATTGCTGCTGCAGCCATTATGATTACATTGTAATTGCTGCTAAAAAGAGCGGGAGATATCTAGAGAAAGGCACACATGTAAAAAAAAAAAAAAAAAAGCAGCATTAGTGCAACCATAGCAAAGAAAAAAAATGTTTATTTGAAATTATTAGTAAAACAATCTAATTTCCAGTCGAGTCAAATGTTATTTTTTAGTAAATGGAATTAACCAAAGCAAACAAAACTATTGTCTTTATTAGTTAAAAAGACATTCGAAATAAAAGAACTACACACCTGTGAAATTAACTGCAGTCTACTCAATGCACGATATTTTCACTTGCCAGAAATAATTATTAAACAATACAATAACGAACGTGTTTGTAAGGGACTCACTACTAACTCAAAGCAAGAAAATACGTATTTTTCTATGTGTAGTGTAAAAAAAAAAAAAATTCTATATGCGAGAAGTAAGCTACGAACTACAAAAAATGCCTTAATGAAGGAAAATAATTTCACTCTAAAAATGCATCTAATGAGCTTGTTAATTTCTCTCGCCTTAATAACAAAAATGCAAATTATTGCGCAATCTATGAAAGAACGAATACCCAGAATGAGAATGGATTTCCTCTTTTCTTTATTTGGTATTTAAACATTTTTCAAAGTAAACTAAAAAAAAAAATTTTAAAAATAATAATGCAGTATCACTTGCTTTATTTATTCATTCTTTTTTACCTTTTACTCCATCTTCTCAGCATTGAGTCCCCACCTACTTCATCACATCTCTTCTCTACTGCTACACTCTAGGGTCGAAGTCAAGGAAGCCAATTTTCCTCGCTTGCATTTTTACTTCACGAGCTAGTTTTTATTTATTTAATAACGAATATGATACTAGAGAATTTGACTGCCTACAGCTCAGCCTAACATTTTTGTTACAAATAAAAAAAAAAAAAAAAAAGAGCGTTATAAATGACTGACTGGTGAGCAGAGTCAATTTCTAGGACAGATTGAGACTAAATGAATACAATGTAACACCAGAAGATACCTGCTCGCTCAGCCGATGTTATCCATTGTATTTTTAACAACGAGCACCCATTAGGGATTTAAATTTGGCTGGTGCTTTATGCACAAAAAAACTATCACTCATATCTGTTAGTGTTAAAAAAAAAAAAAAAAAAAAATCTACACAAGACATCATAAAGAATTTTTAAAAGTCTAAAAGAAGCGTTACAGACTGAAATAGGAAAATAATGTGACTTAAAGACTTAAATAAAATAAAAATAAAATGGACTTATTTTTATGTTGTTAGTTATCTGAAGATAAAAAAGAACGCCATCCACGTCAACTCACCAGAGTATCTTTCTTCAAATGGCATTTTGTTTCAGATTTTAAAATGAAAAAAAAAAAATCCTGGTATTTATTAATAATCCACACTTGCTTTGAGTGAAACTTGGCTGTAAAATCCACCTTAAGGAACAAAAAAAACCAAAAAGATACAGAAGAGTTCCAACTTGGTAACAAATGAAGACGACTATCCTTTCTAAATTGCGAGTATTTCCAATCAAATTAAGATTTATGGTATATTTGGTAAACTGTAAAAAGTGTTATTTCCGATATGAACAAAGAATAAATGGCAATTCTCTGAAGGAAAATATTGTTTCTTCACAGGTGTCAATTTTGAGTTTGAGGTCCCAACTAGGTTAGGAGTCTTAAGTACTGGTCCAAATCCTCACATCAGGTGAGGTTCAAAACTCAAGCAAGAGAAATCAGGTGATGTACCGGACATTAGAAGTTAATCAGCTTATGCAAATATGGGCCGAGTGAAGAAAATCAATTATGTGTAAACAACAACATCACACCACCAAATCTCACCTCAGTCAGGCGATCACCAGATTAAACTCACCAAAATAATCTCTAATTATAAACTAAAGTAATGAGTTTTTTTAAATCTACACTTAAAAAAAAAATGTTTTTAGTTTATGTTAATAACTAAAAATTTATAAATAAATTAAAATGCTACAAATGTGTAATAAGATAATCTTATTAATTAAAAAAGTTTCCTTTATAGAAATATTTATTTATAAATTTAAAGACAAAAAATTACAATACCCAAATTTTTAGCAGAAAAACATAACTTGTAAAAATTCTTAGGGTAGGCCAACGAGTTTTTTTGCAACTTTTTACATAAAAATAACCAGAAATTAATACTTTACAACAAAATCCATGATGCATTTTAAACAAAAAAATACTAGGTATTAAAATAATCAATTTATTTAAACATCTATTGGTTGATTTCAAAAAGAATTGTCTGAACATGAGAAAAAAAATTTAAACAAGCCACTTAATAAAAAATAAAATGTTCATGTTAAATCTTTGCTTTGTGAATAGTTACTCTTAGTTATTTTAAGTTTTCTAAATTTGTCCAACTGTTTTTATGAGCATTGAGATGAAAACTTAAAAAAAAATTTTATTTTGATACATTTTTGGATATGTACATCTTTCCTTATCATTTCAGTTGATACAACACATAGCTGAAATAGGCTAAGGAAGCCTAAGAAGTGTATATAACAAAAAAATAGGAAACATTTCTTTTTTAACACTAACAAACTTATTCTGTCGGATTCCGATCAATATTTGATTTGATAACAAAGTACAAAATTTGTATTACAAATTATAAAGTTGAAGACACTAGTAAAAAAAAAATTCAATAATTTTTAAACTTATATTCTTTTATTTTACTCATAAGGTATCATTTTATTAATTCATATTTTTTCACTTGTTAATTCCCTAAAGCTTCCCACCACAAACTGTTGTATCTGTGCACAAAAAAAAAAGTATAGGGAAAGATAAATCTCACAGAAAGAATACAATCAATAATTTGCTGACAAATTTAAAAGAATGGATAAATACCCCGAAATTGTTTTTACAAAGTAAATCTACCGCCCATTTGAAGTCACAAAAAAGTATTATTCAGAATTTAATACTAGCATTCCGTTTTTGTGGATTGCTGATTGTGCGAATGAATTTAAATTGAAAACTAAAATAATTTGTTGTTTCAATGAATCCACATTTGTTTTGAGATTTCAAAAAAGCTGCTAAAGAAAATATACCAGGAAAGTCCAACATATAGCTAAAAAAAATCATTTTAGTCCTTGAAAAACATTCTAATTTCAGCAACTATTGAATTTTTAGTTCTGTTCCGTTTCGGTTACACGAAATAGAGCCAGTTTTTTAAAAAAATGTTTATTGCAATTTTTCGAGATTGACAATAGCAGACAATATTTTCAAGGAAAATACTTTAATGAAAATATATTGGTTGGAATCATTGTCTGTTAATCATTCATTACACAAACGAAACAATTATTAAATTTAGTAAATGTTCAAAGTTTTAGAGTTCTATATACAAGTTCAGCAACAACAGGTGCAAATAAGTAAAAAAATAAATGCACCGATGACCAATACTCAGTGTTAAAACAGCTGTTGTCAATGCTTAACCAGCAAAGAAATTAGATGACAGTTGGAGAACAACCTTGAACCACTTAGACTTAAGTAGATGCAGCTCTACAGACTACAAGTTTTTTTAGTCAGTTTGTCATGGGCTTTGTACGCAAAAGACTTTAATCCTTGATTTCATTTCAACAAAAAAAACTAATGAATAGCAGTTAAATGGCAACTACTAGATAAATTATTAGATAGCTTTAAAAATATCGATTTTTATAGCAATATAATGCAAAAACTGCGGTACTGGGATCATAGCATTCATTACCATTTTTTTTTAGTGTACATTTTGCGTAGAAAGTTATTAAAATTGAAAAATACGGCTTTACTTTTATTTTTTCTTGATTTGGTAAACTAATTGATTTTAAGGTAGATAATAAATAAGGTAGATAATAAATAATTTACAAAAAGTAATCTAAGTAGATGGATATGAACATGAATTAATTTTTAAAATAATTAGCACAATTTAAATTTAAATAACCTGTGAAAATGACAGAACTGACAACTATCAGTGGATGGAATTATGCGCTCCGTGAAAAAAAGTCTCTCCTACACACATACACGAACAAACCATCAACCACCTATCTGTTAGTGTTAATTTTTATACGATAGCAGTACCGGGAAAATAAATGAGGTAATGAGGAAGAGAGATAGTGACTAAGTAAGAAAGATAGAGAAATAAATAAAAAGAAAATTGGTGAAAAGAAGATGGAGACAAAAGACAAGCGTTGTTTTTAGTTTTATTACTAAATTACTCTGACTACTTTTTTATGTTTAGATCTTTTAAAGTGGTCGTAGTTTTATTTAATATATTTTTTATGTTGGAGCCTGACGCACAGCTTATGCAGGACGGTAAATATATAAAAATAAAACTAATAGAAATAAAAACAATTTTCAGATTTGTACCGTTTCTAAGCGGCACATGGTAAAGGGAAGTAACTTCCGTGAAAAAAATGGAAAGAAAAAAAAAATCAGGTGATTGACCTAAATGTTTTCACTTCCTGAGCATTTTTGTGTAAATGTGTGTAAAGTACATCTTGTTGATCAATTAAATGTTGCGGTATTTAATTAAACTATTAAACAGAAAACTTATTTCCATCTAAAAAACAAAAACAATTACATAATAAATACAAACCTTAATTGCATTATCATTTCTTTAAAATTAAAAAAGAAAAAAAAAGTTAATAATAAATAACCAATTAAATAACATTTTTTTTTTAATTCGTACATTTTTTTAATTAAGAAAAAAGTTTCTAAAATTAGTCATCCGATCATCTTAAGACAAAACAAGATGGTTTCGGCGATAAAATTTGATCGCCTAAAAAAAAAAAAAAATAAAAAAAATAAAAAAATAAAAAATTTCAAGTGAAATATGAGATGTTTTTTTAAAATATAAAATATCTGTTAAGAGAAACTTAGCTGAAAAAAAAAATAATCCAAGATATATAGACCGAGTGAATTTAATTTTTTTGATAGTTACGTGAAGAGATCGATAGAAACAAAGAAGTGCTATCCTGTGAAAACAGGTTCATTGTTTAATTTGCAACTGGAAAACACTAAAATCAATCAAGCTGATGCATTATTATTTTTTTTTTTTTTGTTACGAATAATAGAAGGTACTGTGCTTACGATACGATGCAACAATGATCACGCCATAAATTTAAAAGCTCTTTAAAGCGGAAGAGGATGGCTAAGCTAAAAATCGATAAACAAAAAAAATAATAACGTGGCTGTTAAAAGTAAAACAAGTATCGTATTTTTTGTTTGTTTATAGCTGTTGAGTCGTAATTTTTGTCGCCGTTCAATCATGTTTAGTTTAATGGATCGATCGTTCAATAAATCAGTTTAATGTACGTGTTATGCATATGATGCACAGTAGCAGTTAAATTCTCTGGTACTTAATATTTCAGAAAAAAATAATGTCACAGATGGCTCAACTCTTAAAACAGGAAGAAATAACAGAAAATTAAAAAAATGCAGTATTTCTTTGTTATTAATTGTTTAAGTTATTTTTTTAAATTACTAGTTTTAGTTACTTTGATGAGGAAACAATTTCATTAAAAATGTACAAAAAAATATGCATTATCGACCAACCGAAACAAGCTTAAACTGCACAAAAACCTTTAAAAATAAAACCCGTCTAGTGTTTACAACCGAAATGAAAGATGCCAAATAATTTCGTTTTTATAAACTATCATTCATTTTTTGTATCTATTCTTACACTAGAATGGAATTAATGTTTTAAAATTTCTAACAATCGGTTACTTCGCGTGTACCATCGAGAGGAAGAATCCCTACACACGACGAGACATCTGTCCAAAAAAATAGTCACTAACAGACCTCCCACGATTTTTTTTACCGTTTATCGTATACCTTTCAATAGCATTTCCAATTCTTTCTATATTTTAATGATTAATTCAAGCTTAGAAAATACGAAATAAATAAAAAGGGAAACTAAAAAGAGTGAACTTCAAGGAATTGATCCCAAGATTACGCACGCATTCAAAATATTACTTGGAAAGGTAAAACACAGTATTTCATTTTAAAGAATAATTATCTTTCTAGACATAAAGACAAATTTTGATTACTTTTAAAAAGTCAACAAACTAAAGCGATGTTTGTTGTTGCAACAGTGACAATTGAATAAAGGATGACGGAAGAAAATTGAGAAAAAAGAGAATATGGTTCTTTGGATCAATGGATGCTTGGTGCGATTAATGTGAAAACTAAAATAATACAGATTAAATTAACGTTTTTAAAGACGATGGAATTGTTCAGGATAAATTGGGCGTTTAATCGTAATTCATTAAAATTAAATGAACCCGGTTAAAATTTTAGCTTATTTTTTTTCAAGTTGAAAATATTGAACAATTACTGTAGTGTACAAGTAGCGAAGACATTCTCGCCACTCTTGTAATTCACTTTACAGTTATAAACTACTGAAGATATTAAAAGAAAACGGAAGAACACTTTAATTCCATAATTTAAAATATTGTTTTAAATGAACTACTGATTTCAGTTTATTGTAAATGTTACAATAAATTTATATTTTCTGTTAGAACAAAAGAAAGAACGGTGATAGAAATCACGGACAACAAAGATAAATAAAAATGGATAGAAAACAAGCTCAGACTACTTCGACTTAAGGTTTTAAGGAGAAAAAAGTTTTAAAAAAGAATTTGATAATGATCGACTACTGCAACAAAAAAGACCAAAAAGCTTCATTTACCTGTGTTTATATGAGGAATGGTAGATATACGTGAATAATCACCTCAGGGCAGTAAGAAATATACTGTCCTTTATGACTATGAGCATCAAAGCCGGGTATAATTTAAAATACAAAACCAGCGTCACTCAAGTACGCTAAATAGATGGTAGGAGTGTATTCACGTTGCCGAAGGAAACCTAAAGCTTTGAACTGAGGGAGAGTTTTTCAATGAGTAGGAGTACATGAACAAATAGAGAAGGTGCATCAAAGCACATCACCAGATCTCATCGCACGACACAAGGCACAATTCTCAGCCGACATGCTTCAACCAATGAAAATAGTCGACCCGGTTCACGCGTTATAGGCCCCGCCTACGTTTTGACGCGTGCTTCGCCTTGGGTCAGGTCAGGTCAGGTCGGGTCAAATGGTCAACATGTGTATGTGTATGTGTATGTGTTTTCGATTTCAACATGAAATTTTGCAATCATTTTTGTGTGATTCTCTTTCTTTATTTAATTTTTTATTCAAAAATTCTTTAACAAGATTAAAAAAAAATAAATTTTTCAACATGATTTCAATTTTCAACAAACCTCGAGCTTAATGTTTGTAAGTTGTTTGCTCATCTGGTAGTGAAGAAACTGCTAACTAAAAAAATATTTGTAAATTAGGTGTTGATTTCAATAAGTATTTCCAAGTTGGCTTTAATTAAGTTTTAATAATTAAAACTAGGAATGAGGAATCATGTTTAAGCTCCCAATATTTTTATTTTAATTCAGTTGATGCGACTACAGTTTTCATTTCAATCATTGTATTCCAACAATTTACTTTTCAAAATTTAACGTATTGCTAAGGATTTTATTTTCTCTTTTATATACCGAACTAAACAAGTAAAAACGAAAACAAACAAAAAAAAAATAAGACAAGAAAAAATAAATGTCTGAAATTCAACTCAAGTAAAAAAAATGTATTCATTCATCATCACAAAAGCTCCTCAAGCTGAGCCTCTATACTCGACGCATAGATGGGCGGATCTCTGATTTTGCGCGCGTAAAGAGTGGGATTTGTGCTACTCTTCGGAAATTAAAGTGATAGTCATACATGTAATTCTTCACAGAAATACTGATAGATAAAAATACGTATTTATACGCACGCCCACTTGAACGAAATGTATCACAAGTTTAAAATGGGTATCCTACACGTACATGGGACTTAGTAAGAACTAAAATTACTCAAGCCCCCTCGGCATTTTCCCTTTTTGGGACGCCTCTGGCGCCAGTGATCAATCTTTTTTTTAGCCGTTTCTCGAATGAAATGCGCTGCCTGGAGGGACGGCCCCCAAAGACTCAAGTGCGTTATTCTACATTTTAACCCCGATGGGGTTCTAGCGTATATAGCAGGGTAGTAGAGAGGATTTTTTTAAACATAATTGCTCATCAAAACTTTATGTCAGACAATTTTGAATTTACATATATCTGGAAATAAATCAATCTACCAACAAAGAGAATATCATTTTCTATATTTTTCCACTTCAAAATTCTCTAAGGAAGTCACTTAGCACCTTTAAAAAACTTATTGAATCAGCACCCTATGAACATCATTTACTTTTCCTAACATAAAAGCTTTGGTGCAAGCGAAGCCATATCACCACGTGAAGATCGAACTTACGCTCAATGGCTTGTGAGAACACACCACTTTTATTGCGAATATCTGCTTGCATTGAAACAGTTACAACTTACAATACATGTTTGTTTCATGTTTATTTCCAGTGTTGGTTGTATGTTTGTTTTTTTATTGAGGCCTGCTGTACAGACAAGATTCAAATGCAGACGTTACAAAATCGTGCCTTTTATTAGTCAATGAATATACTCACAAAAAAAGCTAAATTTGAAATACCGACATTATGCAGGTTACCTGTCATAGTACATCTCATTAACGTGATGTGTAAGCAAAGCTAGTTTTACACACGTAGTGTGTTTGATACTCACTGAGCACTCAATTATTATGGCCTTGTGCCAGCCAACGTTTCTCAGTCGGTGCACCCGTGCGTACTAATGCAAAGTACGCTCCAAGTTAACAGAAAAGTAATTTATGAATTATTTTTATATTTAAAAAGATAAACATAAACACCAGACACATGGATTGCATAAAGTCTTTGTGATTTGATGATGCTAAAAATTCCTTAATTTTTAAGGTGGAGTGGATAATTCTTTTCTCCTTTGCCGTCCTCAAGGGATTTAAAAATCAGTCATTATTATCACTCAGCCTCTGACTGAACAAAATACCATATTCTTAAGAAATCCCTAAAATAAATAACTGTACCGCTTAAAAATACAATGTAATAATTCAATTGTAATGATTGCAATGAACGTCTTGAAATTTAAAAATAATAAAATGCTTGTTTCAGGAGACTTTTTTTTCCATATTTTATGATTAATCTCTCTTTATTAAAATTTAAAGTGCGCCCCAGACTTTTTTTTAGTTATGCAGTGCTCAAAAGGTTGAGAAACACTGTATTAGTGACTATGATGACTGCTGAGTGTTGATGCATGTTCAATTGTTTTACTTTGTATACAAAATAAAATAAAACGAATAGCCATTTATGATAGTGAATAATACCGAATAACAATGTCTACGACTTTGAACTTGCTTCTTCACAATTGTAAAAACTACTTCTTTCAATTCAAATTAGTACTCTTTCACTTTCGTTATTAGTTTCTATTGTTACTATTTGGTTCGGATTTTATTTCTTCAAGTTTCAGCGTTATGTAAAGTTTAGGTATATTCAACTTCTTTCACGAAACCTGCCATACAAATTAAAAAGGAAGAGTTCGGACACAAAGTACCAAACAGCCGATCCAACTAATACCGTACCGGCCACGACAACCTGATGACCTGACCTCGACTCGGCGTCCAAAATGGACCAACCCCACTTCGAGCTCCATAAAGCAGTGGAGTGACTACGATGATAATATCTCAACAGTGTTCACACATCAAACTACCCTCCTCGAAAAATATATCCACATAAAAACTGATATATCTGCAATATTATTTTTTAACAAAGTAAGCTTATTTGCATTACTGTTGATTTTTTTTGTTGCTTTTACCTTTTTTTAAGGCGAATAAAAATAAAATTGTTTAAAGATTTTGTAAAATCTTGATAGGAAGAATCTTTTTCTAATATGCTTTCTTGGAATAAAAGGCAAAATATCGCTGTCTTAAACTCATATACATAATGACGTTAGATCATGACCAAAAAGAGAACATTAAGTTTTAAAAAATAAGAACCCCTCTACAACATTACTAAGATGAAATCTTCAAAAGCAGAAAAGGTTAAAAAAAAAATTCCCCCGCCATATGATGTCATTTCCGGTTAGTTAAAGACAACAGGAACTACAACTGTAGAAAGTAACAACATGGCAGCTTCCGGTGGTGGAAGTGTATTTTCGCCCCGTTTTCGATCTGGTTCCAAATTGCCTGTGCAATATGATGCTGATGGAAAAGAAGTTGAGGTAATAATTGAGATTGTTTATCCAAATACAAATTGAAATGTGTTGAGATGAAGCAAATAGTCCATATATTCAACTTGAATACATGAAGATGGTAACTCACACACGAGTTTCGGTTTGTGTGTTGCACATTGCAGACGCTTTATTTTCATTATCATTTTATTTATTGGATATTTTATTTGTTTCTAATTGATATTCAAACGAAATTTAAGTTTTTTAGTTGTCAGTCAATATCATCAAAACAAAAGTAAACGTTCAATGAATTTATGATAATTGACATAAAAAAAAACACCCCCTTACTTTTGGCTTTTTCTTTCTTTTTTTCAGTTTCTGTTTAGTTTAAAAATCTTTCGGGTTTAAAAAATCATGGTGAAATTTTAAAAATTTTATTTTAGGAAAACAAAGATGTGAAAATAAATAAAAGATTTGCTTAATTTTTATTTTGAAATAAATTGCATTTTTTTTTTTTTTTTTGATGGGGGCGTGCCCGACTAGTATTTTTATTTTTCTTTACTTAAAATACGGTACCCCAATTCTTTCTTTCTTTCTTTCTTTCTTTATTGTTGTTAAAGCTGATACGCAGGTGAAGGATATGTTCTTTTTTTTGTTGCAATGGATACTCAGCTGATTTACGTTGTTTACTTTCTGTTTGTAAATGTAATCTGAAGGAAAATCACTCCAATAGTACACATTTGATTGATTAAAAATAAAAGTGCGTGCCCGGTGCTTTAAGGAAACAACTTGTCTTTTAGTTGTTATTTTTTTTTTTTTTTTTTACTTTTAAGAATTGGTTATGAACTGCAATTTCTTGGTATGATTTTTTTAAATACTAAGAATATTGTCTATGGTTCTTAATCTTATGTTAGTTAGTGATTTAAAATTTTCGTTTGAACAATGTCAGCTTTTTCGTGCCAAAACTCAGTTCATTTTAGTGCCGGTTTACGTGCATAGTCCTTTTTAGACTAAAAACTGACCGGTGAAAAATGCTTTAAGCTTAAGCTTGAAAATACATCAGTGCTATAAAATAAACTCATGTAGCGACTAGAGATAGAGCTAATAAAATGTATATTAACAGTAACACTAACTTTACGTATTTCAGTAACGCCCTGACGTTCTTACGGACAATTTATCATTGGTTAACCACTGGAAAAATATTAGTTACTCACTATACGCTTCCTTATTGCGAAAACACCTTTTGTTGAGCATAAGGTATATTCCATATGTCGATAAGTTCATAGATCAAGCAATAGCAGTTACCTCTCACAACACCTACTTTTACAAAACAACAACAAAAAAACGCCTATTTAATTAAAAAAATTATGAAAGCACAAAACTGCTAAAATGCAAAAAACTGATTTCGTTTGTTTAAAAATATTCATTAACTTTCTATAACCAATATGGTAGGAATTTTCTATGAATAAAATTATTTCTTTATATGAAACTTATTTTTTTTATATTGTTAGTAATATAAAAAAATGTCTTTTAAAATGAAGTTATTTTTATTTTATCCATTGCATTTCTTTTCTATTTGGCATTCAATATTTATTTTTTAAATATTTCATGTTGTGAAATATTTAACAGTACCATATCAAATCATTTTAATTATTTAAAAAAAATATTAAACAAAAAGTGCTGCTAAAAATAATAAAAGGAAAATATGAGAAAATTTATAAAGGATTAAATTGATAATGTTTATTGATTGTTTTCAGTTTGATAGCTGAAAGAAAGCAATGTCATAAAATATTCTAGTCCTCTCCAAACTTTACAAGTAATTATTTTTAACCTTGTATAACCAATAGAGATGTAATTCAGAATTGTGAAAGTATTTCCTATTTGATGTACTGTATAAAATATAATTTAACAGTTGTAAAAAGAAAAAAAAAAGCTTTTAAAAATATTTTTGATTGCAAAAATGGTATTTACCTTAACATTTTTCAAACACCTCTTTATTTAGTAAAATAAAATCTCTTGTCGTCAGTTACTGAAAGAATTTCAAAATTATACTGAAAAATTACATGTAAATTCTTCAAAAATAAATACTCATTTTAGATTTTTTCTCCTGTCAGGTCTGGTAGAAAATAATTATTAAACACTAACTCTCAGCAAAAATGATTTTTTAGTTTTATTGATTTATTTTTGTAAGGTTTTGGGACAAATTTTCAAGATGTGATATTGCAAAAACACTTTACTGAAATAATATCTTCAAAGTCTTTAAATATTTTTCATCACCTCTAAATTTTAAGTATTCGCAATGTATCAAAACGTGTGCAGGATAACTGACTCCTTCCCCAATATTTCTACAAAGTTCTCTGATAAAATGACCTTTTCAACATACATTTAATTCATTAATTGATTAGTGCTGAAAATGTAATTTAAATTGTATAAGCAACTGATTTTTGGTACATTCTTAAACAATTTTTTGTGGAAAACATTTATTTTATTTGTACCTAGTACTGTAGAAGATAGACATGAAAAACAATGATAGTGTTTCATTTCAAGAACATTTAAAATATGGCAAGGGTGTGTTAAGGTTGGGGGGGAACACCTAACTGATTGCTCTCCCAAGAACTACAGGGTAACAGGGAGAGAAGTGAAAGAGACAGGAAGAAACAAATACAATATTGTCTCAGAAACCACAGGACAGCAAGTGGCACACAACTTTAGGAATGACATACTCAAGGGAATGACTTCAGAAGTCACCGAGTCTTGCAAATTGCCCACTACGGGTTTTCACATCACTTGTATTGACAGAAGACAGTTGACAGGAATGCAGATGTGGACAAGTTGCTGAGATGCTCACTTCAGGACATGCCAAAGTGTACTGCTGCTAACGAAGGGGGTGGGGCTTTGAACTTGTATGTAACTGGTTTTGACAGACATATCTGCATGCAATTCATGGCCTCTTTTGCATCTATACTGGTGCATGTTCACCACACTCCCCTGACAATCTCCTGATCACAGATATGAAATCTTGTAGGGGATTTCTTCTGCTGAGTGCTTCTCCAAGGGGAGTTGGTTTGTAACCTTCAACCTCACCCCTATGTGATTCTTCCATCATGGGCTCATCTGGCTTATCCATTCTCACAAGGATTTCCTCCAATTTTGGACATATCATCTTCACTACTTGTTGAAGATTGTGAACTCCAGAAAAGACAAAAGTCTCTGACATGGTGTGGCATTCCATTCACCAAGACTGATTGCAGGCTAACAAGTAATTTGTCTCTTTCTGAAAGTTGTTGTACACAGATTATGTGGGGCCTTTAACCACACAGGGTCCCCCAATTTGTGCACTTCCTGGCCCACCTCAGACATCACTGAAGTCACTGAATCAATCCCTTTAAGCCAAACCTTATAACTTTATTTGTGGGCACAGTCAGTGGTGAAGTGTCATCTTTGGGGGTTACATTGCATCACTACCAGTAGGTGGCCTCTTCAACAGTACATTTCATTCTGGCCATAATCTTCTTGACACTTCTCTGACACTGCTCCATTATTCTGTTGGAATATGCATGCATTGGAATTGCAAATGCATGCTTCATTCTTCAGCAAAAACCAGGAACTTCTTGCTGTGGAATGCAGTGTCATTGTCTGTGAGTAGCACACAGGGTGGTCCCCTCTCACAGAACACGACTTCAACTGACGTATGATAATGGCTGCCACTGTAGTCTGTGATGTTCATGCCAAGTAATGTTTATTCCCAGACTGCCCTTTTACCAATGGACTGGCACAGGAACTATTGTTGTGCTCTCCACACAGGGCCCAATCATAGACTTTGACACAAAAGGACAAACTCTCTTCATAAAATGTGCAGTATGCTGCACTCCTGATTGACAGGAGACAGTTGACAGAAACCTGGATCTGCACAAGTTGCAGATAGGCTTATATCTGGACATACCAAGCTGTTCTACTGCTAATGGGAAAAACCCGTTAGGGGACATAATGCGATTCATGGCCTCTTTTGTGTCTGTACTAATGTGCGTTCATCACAGTATTACTGATTTTATGTCTCCTCATCATAATTGGGTTTTTTTTTGTCACATATCAGGTATTGTGTCTGTCATATTTTATTTGGTAATGTTCTTGGAATTTCAAACCAAATTTTTTATTCAATTCATGACGATAGACTATTCTGTTTCTACAGTCCATATTAAGGAGATGTCTAATATTTTTGTTAACTTTTAACCCATGAAAATTTCAGTTTTCCTATTTTAATATTCTGATGAATCTTATTTCTTAAGTTAATAATTGAGTAAGCTCATGGCGAGTTCTACGACAAAATATCTATAGAAATTCCCCTGTCACATTGTTAAATATTTGAGCTTAACAATGTTAACAAAATATTGCAATATAAATGCTGGTTGTTATATTAAGAAGTGGGTAGAAATGAAAAAAATTAAAATTGAAACAGCTGTAAAACACTTCTATTTTCCCTTCTTTCTTTCTTTCATTCATTCATTTTCTCACTGACTCTATGTAGTGTCTTTTTCCCCTCTTTCCACACAAATAAAATTTAATAGTTAATTATTTATTAGGTATTGGCAAGGTGTAATGGTCATGTAAACTAACAAATGGTGGGACAAACACAATTACAATAGGATATTTTATTTTTTTTTTTTTGTATTCATATCAAGCTGGTAAGAAAATTCCTGAACATGATAGCTTAGAACAGACCTTTTTGCTTCTGTAGCAAATCATGAGCCAGAAAAATGTCATAAACAAATTTTGAAATATTGAAATTATCCATTTAAATGCATAAAGTTATCTTTAAATCAATAAATAAGAAAATTAGAAAATCATTTGTACTTGAGCAAGGATGTCAGTTTGTAATCAAAGAACTCAAGTTGCAATTTTATTAAATTGAGGCATCTGTTTGAATTTTAAAGATAAACTTTAAAACAAAAAGCATATAATGGTGGTAAGTTATGTGTAAAAAAAAACAAAAAAAGGCAGAAATATTATGAGTCCAAGAAGGTGCAGTGAGATGCTCTCCTGGAGTCAAGCATAAGCCATGCTTATGGTGGGCAGGGAAGTTTCTCTATGGTGGTTAAATGAGAGCAGTTTAGTTTTGGAAGCATTAAAATTTATAAGCCATTTTCTGCCCCGGTTAATCAATGATTGGATATCCTTTTCAAAAGCAGCGGCCAGGTTAACTTTATCAGCTCTGACGGATTTGTTATTGAGACAGGAGTAAATGGTAGTATCATCTGCATAAATGTCTACTTGGAAACTGATGACATCAGGAAGATCATTGATGAAAATCAGAAACAGCGTAGGGCCCAGGATAGAGCCTTGAGGACACCCACATTTGTGTGAAAAGATCTGGAAGCGAGCCCGTTCAGAACAATCTTTATTTCAGCATTTGCTAGCAATGACTGGATTAAATAAAACAATCATCCTGTAATATCATAGCTCTGAAGCTTATGTAGAAGACTAGCATGCCAAACCCTGTCAAATGCCTTTGAGATATCTAGAGCCACAGCTCAAGTTTCACTGTTATTATCAAGAGTTTGATGTATATATTCAGTGATGGCCGTAAGCACAACAGCGACAGACTGGACAAAATGAAATCCATATTGTTTGTCAGAGAGTAGGTTGTGATATGTAAGATGCTTAACCACTTCAGCATTGATTAAAGCCTCAAATACTTTGCCAAAAAGCAGTAGGAGACTAATAGGGTGGTAGAGGGGTCAGAATATTCTCCAGAGTTCTTAAAAACAGGAACTACAGAGGACTTCCAACAAGATGGAAAGCAAGAAGTAGAGTGTTGAGTTGGAAGAGAATTTCTGAGCAAAACATTCAACCTTATCTGCTGTAGATGTCAGGACTTCAAATTGATTGAATTGAGTATTTGCTGTTGTTCAGCACACTCTTGCAGAGCTACTAATAATCTCTAGAATCGAACTTGCGAAATGCTATAATGTAGTTTCATTCTATCAGCCAACAGTAACTTTACTTCGTTGAGGACATGCTTGCACTCATTACAAGCAGAGACAAAGAGATGTCTATTGTAATCAGACTTATCATTCTGGTATAGCCAGAAGAAGTGATTCCTGCGGGTTATAGGGGTTGATCATACAGGTGAGAACCAAGGAGATGAATGCAGTTTAACTTGGTATTTCCTTGCTGGATTGAAAGCATTGATATCGTCTTTCAACCAGGAGGAGCCCTCAGACACACATTTTTGAACAGGATGATAAAAAACTTAATTCCAAGGGACGTCATGAAGGAAATCGCAGAATGAGTCCCAATCTGCTCATTGATAACAGAAAGATATTCTGTTGGTAGGAGGTTCTTGGCTGGTGGTGGAGCAGAAAGAGAGGTTTACAGACACTACTGCATGATCATAGTTGCCAAGAGGGTAGAGCTGTGTAGTACAACAAGAGTCAGGGATAGAGGTAAAAAAGAGAAGTGTGTGTCCATCAGGTTTACTGAGGAAACACATGGGGAAGTCAACCACTTGCGTGAGAAATTGAGTGATTGAGAAATAAAAGGGTTTGGATGTCAGTGATTGTTTAAACCACCTGGTATGATGGGCATTAAAGTCAATGAACACAAATGTTTGCAAATGACTTTAGGAAGATGGCCTTGTCTATATCAGAAATACTATCTAACACGCAAAATTCTTTAGAGGAAGGGGAATGATAAAGAAAGAAGAGGTAGCTAACTGAGTTAAGTAGAGAGAGACTGAGACACATGTAAGAATGGTCTGTAGATTCAAAAGAGAGTTCCCTAGTCAGCAGATATTTGTGGACATAAACTTCTAGGCCATGCATGTGGACTTTAGTGTCCTTTTTAAGGAGAGGAAAGTAACCAGGAATTGAGAAATCAGAGAAGGGGATTGAAGACTTAAGATTAGTTTCACAGAAAGCTAGGATGTCCAGAGACTTTTCGAATCATTCATTCCACATTGCAGAAGTTGGTATGAATACCACAAATGTTGGAGAAAGAAGGTTTAAGTGTTTTTTGTTGAGCTGGTTTACATTTATATATTTGGTTGTTTATAGTCATAATGTTATGTGTTATTTTGGTAAGGAAAGGCTTAGGGTAGTAGTAGCAGTCAGTCATGTAACATGTGCAGGAAGGGAACTGACACAGTCTGCAGCATAGTCACCTCAGGGTTGCCCTTCAGAGGTGCTTGCAGGGACACCCTTTCATGCACAACATGCCACTGCAAGAACCCTGATATTAGGCAACTGTTGATCAGAGCAGCCTCTCAAGATGTTATGCAAAAGTTTGGATTTATAAGTACTAGTTGGGAACAGCAACCAAAAAACTGCCAACCCGGTAACCTCAGTATTAAGAGATAATGCCATCATCCATGCATATCACAAAAAATTCATGACAGCACCACTATTAAAGCCTAAGGAAAGGAACCAAGACCTCCTTCCTAAACAGGAAACAAGAGATGAGCCCCTACTACTGCTCAAGAGAAGGGGGGTATGGATCAACTGATAGGAAAGTCAATCTACTTTTATTAAATGCATAGAAAAATGAATAGCTTTCAAACTTCATACACAACATTTTTACTCACATCAAAATTTTTAAAAAATCATTGTTCTCAAAAGCAGTTGAAGATGTGTTTGCCATATGAATGATTTCAGGATGAGCCTTACTTCAAACTAATCCCTGTGCCCAACATTTGATGAAGTAACTAGTGGCTGTTCATGACTAGTTTGCCAATTATATAACAATTTGAAGACATGGTTCAAATCTTGAAGTGGTTAACTGTTGGATTTGAATCAGGACAAATTTCCCCAGGCCATGAAAAATGATTCACAGCTGACTAATTCATAAATGGTGCAGCAGTTTAACTGCACTTACTCACTATCCAGAAGCACTTGGCTGCAATTGATAAAATGTGTAAATCAGGAATTGTTTGCTGCATTCACTGACAAACAATATCTGAATTACCATTTGTACATGTGTATATCTTTGATTTCTCTTAAATTCATGCAAACATACTGCCTGAAGGTCAAATGACATGCAAAGCTGGATAGATAATCATGCTATTACTGTTGCCATATCAAAACCAGAGTTGCATCAGGAAATAGTTAATCATTGTTGCTGAAATATACAAAGCACCATTTACTGAAAACTGTAAAAAGTCGCAGTGTG